TGCTAATTATAGTTTTTTGGTTGCGCCACTTTGAGAATGGACCGTGCGCTGGAAGCAGCTGCCTGGATCGCTGCGCAACAATGCGGAACCGGTTCGCAGCAGCTCAAGTCTGCCGGCTCTCCCTCGCGCTGATCTGCCTGTACCGGCTCTCCCTCACGCTGATCTGCGGCTCTCCCTCGCGCTGATCTGCGGCTCTCCCTCGCGCTGATCTGCGGCTCTCCCTCGCGCTGATCTGCCGGCTCTTCCTCGCGCTGATCTGCGGCTCTCCCTCGTGCTGATCTGCCGGCTCTTCCTCGCGCTGATCTGCGGCTCTCCCTCGCGCTGATCTGCGGCTCTCCCTCGCGCTGATCTGACTTGCTCTGGTCTGCGCGCAACGGCGGGCGGGAAGGGGGGGCGCTTTTGGAAGAGTTGTGCGACACAACGAATCGATGACGCAATTCGTTGCCAACGCTTTTAGTAATCGATTTTCATCGAATTTATCGATTCGTTGTTGCAGCCCTAATGCCCAGTCGAGTTCGAGGCTGGAAGTGTTGCAAAGCTCTGTTAGAGACAGAGGAGGAAGTCTACATCACAATCATTGGGTGAAAAAGTGAAAGTGGCAGACAGTCTTTGTGTCAAGCTGAGAAAATTAGTCATCAGCAAGAAATTCTCAATTTAGTGACATTTAATGAAACAGTTTGAAGGTTAAATCCACTCTTAAAATGCAGAGTAAACATGTAAAACACACTTGTTTCCTTTTTCCTTCTTTCGTCTCCTGTCAAGTGTTCTAATTATCTTTTGTAACGTCAACTGTGGGAAATAGGTTGTCACTTCCTTAGCAACTGGTTGACGACGGGCTGTGACTCAGCAGCTTGTTTGTGTGTGTGTGTGTGTGTGTGTGTGTGTGTGTGTGTGTGTGTGTGTGTGTGTGTGTGTGTGTGTGTGTGTGTGTGTGTGTGTGTGTGTGTGTGAGAGAGAGAGAGAGTGGAACGTGCAGGTGTGAGTGCTACGCTTTGGGAGCAATCATTGTCACAATGCTGCCTGAACGTCTTCGACCGGTTTACTGAGAAAGCAGTGAGGTCAGCGCCTCAGAGGAGGAGCAGCGAGGGCCGGCGCTGCTAGGAACCTTTTCTCAGAGAAATGAGAGATATTATCAGGCCCTTGAGCCTGTAAATGCAGCTTTTCAGAAACAAGTCAAACGCATTTGGCCGCTGTAGCCTGTGAGTCGATGCAGACCAGTACCGGGATGCATATTCGCTGCAGCATAGCTGGATATTTGCGGTGACGATGTTGACCATTCCAGGTTGAGGTTCTACAGGCATAAACACGTCTCGTGTGAGGTGTCCCGTTATGGGTGGTGTCTGACACAGTGGACCACATACAGAGCAAGGTGACGACATGGATTGAGTGTTTATGCTAAAGAACCACGCTCCCTCGTAAAACTAATTGGACGTCTTTTGTGGGTTTGCGCGATAGCAACGGTGCTTGAGTGGGCTCAAGTGTTATTGCTATTTCAGGCAGCATGTTTGTTTATTTATACACCAATTAAAACCCCCATTTGTGTAAATAATGGGCTCAGGCATCTATCACCTTTTGCTGAAGTCACTGGGATTGTAGAGCATAATTCTCTTTGCTGCTCTTGCTTTCTGTTGTGGCGTTTTTGGTCCAGGTTGCTTTTGGCGGCCTCGCTCGGGTTTGAACGGCTTTTCCAGCTGCTGCATCTGCTGGAAAAGAGATAATAATTATGAAGGGACTGCCGTGTAATTCTCTCACCGTGCCTTTTGGATTTCATGCTCCTTTTTTTGCTGCATTGTTTGTCACTAGACTCCATTTGTTGCAGCTGTTTGCATCAGCCCTCTCATCTCGCCGTGGTGCTGCGAATAGAAAGAGTTAGCGGGCGGAGGTAACGTTTGTGCTGTACATGAGTAGGTATGCCTGAGGGTTGTGAGGCTTTCTGTGTTCGAGTTGCCGGGTGGCTGCCGGTAGCTTTCTACAAACGCCGTCTGCTCCGTCTCCCCTCCCCGACCCGTCGGCGTGTATGTGAGCACCTTCAGACGGACAGGTTGTAAAGATGTGGTAGAACACGTCGGTCCCCAGTGAGCTCCGTAATTGGGAACTTTAGAGGATTGGGATAAAAAAAAATTGAGGTAGGAGGAATTCAATTCTTCCTCCTTTATTTCACACCTCTTCCTCACCAAACTGCTAATGCATTCATAGAGTGTAGTGGATCAATTTGGTTCATCGGGAGAGGGAAAGAACTGATCCAGGAACAGAATGAAAGGAAAATGAGGCATCGTTGGTCTGAATGGGCAGAACAGAGGGAAATGAGGCAGGTAGGCAGCTGATGAGACTGGATGGGTGATTGTTGTGGGAACAAGTCTAATGACAAGGCTCCAGGTCTAAGACCTGGTCAAGCAAAGAGGGAGTAAACATGGCTGAGAAGGTGAACCCTTGTTGAAGGAGACAGGAAGTTATTGATGGAGCATCAGATAATTACTGCTTGTGACATTAATGTAAGCTGCTGCTGCTATAGAGTTGTGCAATTAATTACATTTTATTTTAAGTTTCTCACCTCAAACAATTCATTGTTTCTGTAAAAATCAGCAAAAACGGCGGAGCAGCCGCTAAACGCACTGAAAGCTAATGCTCCAGTTATGACCTCCGTGTGTTCTCAATCAGGACATCCTGTGGTGTTTTGATTCCATATTTCCAGTTACTGATGGTTGTAGATTAAAAATTGTAATTTGCGCTCGCTCCTTGCTTGAACCTCTGGGCTTCCGTAGTAACTCTCCTGTGTTTTCTGCTCTCTCTGTCCATGTCTTCTTCATGCAAATGTTTTCAGTTTTTATCTCGCATGTATTTTAAGATAATATCTGAAATTTACAAATGTTTTTATTTGCTGTATTATCTAAAATAAGCTAATACATTTTTATTATAATCTAAATTGACTCTGCTATGATAGCAGTAATGTTTGCCTTATAATAAATACCCTTATTAGTTTTTATTGCCAGTTTTCTTGTCCGGGGATCGGACCGCCAAGGCTCCCGCCTTGGTCTGCCACCCGATCCACATTGCACCGGACCCTTCATGTTCCTCCTGCGGGTGGTGGGTCCACAGTTGGATGAGCCCATGTATCCGGTTCGGGCTGGGCCGATATTTTTTCCTAAAACAAGATGTTTCAAAAAGTCCATTATTGTGACATCACAATAGGAAATATTAGCTCGGAACCGCATCTCACTTGTCCACATTGCAGGAGAAGCAGATATCAGAGCTCCTCACCACATAGCAGCCAATCAGCTTATTTTTCTTAAAGTGACAGAACCCTGAAATGGCTCATTCTGGAAGGTACCGAAATTGTCAAGGATAAAACTGCTGAGATTGCTTTATGTGAGAGGGATTTTGTGCAAATAACTTCATGAACATGTTTTGTATCGACCATTAGAACTATTAAAACTTAAAAATTGTCACAATTTGCCCCCTTTAAAGTACCACACTGGTACAAATATATAACCCACGGGTTCAGAGATAGACCTGAAATGGAGAAACATACAGCAGCAAGCAGGTAAAATTCTATATGAAACTATGATAGAGGCAACATTTGAAATTATTACTAGAGCAGGGCAGACAGGAACAGAAATGGGCTCAATGTGGTAACAGCAGTGTCTAATGAGTTACTGGGGAAAGTGATTGTGGAGGGAGAGGAGCTGAGTGATTATAAATTGACATAAGAAGTGTGTGACGGAGTGTGAAGGCTATTTTACAGAGCTGTACGTTTTTGGATTATTCCATTAGAAGTGTTATGAATTTCAACAGGAAATGCTACATTGAGCTGGTGGTGGTCGGAGGGACCGCCCTTCTGTCAGTTTGCCCCAGGGTCGCTGTGGCTACGTTGTAGCTTATCACCATCAATGTGTGAATGTGTGTGTGAACACGCTTTGGACTTAAAGAGGTGGTAAACAAATGCTTGTGCTATTTTCGGCTACAAAACCGAAAACATTCAGGACTTATGTTTTCTTTATTTTGGGAGGAATCCATTTAGTTACTTTGAATAGCCCTCATCACATCAGTCATGTCAGAGCGTACCTGTTTCTCCAAACAGAGGCTGTTCACAGAGCTATCTAAAACAGGTAAGAAATTGATTGTTCATAAGCTTCCCAAAATATCTGAAGATTATATGTTTTAGTAGAGCTGGTAACAGATTTGCCTCTAAAATAAAACCTGCTTCATTATCACCACTTTGTTTTATTGAACAATGGTCCGATCGGCCATTTTCATTTCCTCTGACGGTGCAAACACCACAGTTACAGCACTCATGTTTATCTTGTTCTCCGTCTCGCTCCTATTCCGTTTGTATGTTTCTGTTGCATCTGATTTAATAACCTCAGTAGTGCTCCCTTAGCTTGTTGGTTGCCATGGCTACCGTTTCCTGAACATTGTAGTAGGTGCTGGGGATGAGCTGTGTGGGTACAATCGTGCTGGTGCACTCAGAACGAGCGAACGCGAGGCTTTGGTCGTACGGAGGCTGTTCTTTCACAAGTAATTATGACGCTTCAGCCATTTAGAGACGAACATTTGCACTTGGTGTGATAAGCGTCGTATCATCTGACTAATGCCATCTGAGAGGACTATGTCTGAAATGTGCGTTCATCAGTTTAAATATGAATGTCTTTGCCTACAGGAGTGTGTGTGTCTGAGTCAGTGAAGGAGGCCATTTTTATGCTGGCTGTGTGTTGAGTGATTGAGGTTCAAAGAGGAGAGCTCTGCTCTCCATGTTAGAGAGAGAATAGGAGAGGGCATAAAGTGTGTGTGTGTGTGTGTGAGTGTGAGTGATTCCAGATGAAGGATGTCTTTTTTTCCTGCAGTGTGCTCGCCAGCCAAAGAACTGTTTTCTAACCACAACCAGCATCCGTCAGAAGTCACATTTACCTCTCTGGGAGACACAAGTTCTCAAAATCATTCACTTTTTTCTTCTCTTTCTCTCTCACCCCTCCCCCACTTCCTTCTCCCTCACCCTCGTCCAGCTGGTCGGCGGCGAGTTCGACCTGGAGATGAACTTCATCATCCAGGAGGCAGAGAGCATCGGTTGCATGGTGGAGCTGCTGTCCCACTGCGAGGTGACGTGCCAAGCGGAGATCTGGAGCATGTTTACGGCCATACTGCGCAAGAGCGTGCGCAACCTGCAGACCAGCACGGAGGTCGGCCTCATCCAGCAGGTGCTGCTCAAAATGAGCACCGTGGATGACATGATCGCAGGTAGGCAGAAAATAAAGGCTAATAATGCAAAATGTTTAAGTCAACATTAAAAACAAGAAAATGATTTAGCTGACTGAAGAATGACATCTACTGTTAAAACAAATCCACATGTAATGCACCAATGAGTTTTTTAAGTTAATATATTACACAAGACTTTTTTTTTTTGCCAAGGTTGAAAATTAATACATTTTAAGCTTTATTAAAAATGGCTTAGGGTTCGGACATAATTTCCTCTGCATCACTTTTATAAAAATTCATTAAATTTCATAGAACCAAGATGCACCACGCTCGTCACAAGTGTATCACCATTGTTTACAAACAAAAGATTTGTGAGGGTCGTTTTAAAGGTGTAGTTTACTTGTTTAATCAATACATTTGCAGTAGTCTCTTGTAGGAATGAATGCCTTGTAAGTCGTACTCTGGGTACTAAAAGCCCTGGTGCGCTAGAAGATTGCCAGATCAGAGGAGAGCTTCAGACGGCAGGTTTTGGAGTCTTATTTCCTGATATTTCACCTCTGATTGGCTAACAGTAATGCGACTCTACCATTGACTGATTTTACTTTGCAACATTGATGTTTTATCTCCACAAATTACACAAGCATAGAGGAGTTCTGCTGTGTGGTGGAGGTGCTAATGCTAATGGTTAGCTTCTGCTAGCCAATAAGTTCTCTGCTGTTTTCCTGGATGCTAAACCAACAACCGTCTTCCCGTTGCGAGTCAAGATGGGTGAGTCCATGAAAATTACGTAAAAAGTGTGACGTAGATCTTTCAGGCTTTTCAAATCCTAGAGTTTCACCGTCTATTTTCTGTCAGAATCTAATGCAGGAGATAGGTGTAGGAGACTATTTTCATGTCCAGCCTGCATGAAAAACTCAAAGTGACCGATTAGAATCAGAAACAATCATTAAAAACAGTTTTCATTTATCCACACTTTTAAGGCTTTAATTACAGTAATAGATTTTTTTAAATGTCCGACACATTAATATTCATTATACTCTGTCTTGCGACTGTATTTTTTACAGTAAAACTCAAAGGTTTATTTACAATATGTAAACAAATCTTTTTGTTCCATTTGAAGTCATAATTACCGTGTTTTTAAATGCAGAACCTCATTTCTCCCATACATGGTCATACTGAGCTTCTGTAATTTATTGCTGCTCACAACCGAGCCAAGTGTTCCCGGTTTATCAGTTTAGTGTTGATTCTCTCCACCTCTTCGTCCCAACTTGGTTTCTGACTCTTTCCTGAAACTATTTAAAACGACCTATATGGATTGATTGTACCAAAAACCAGAGCTTGGGGCTTTTGAATCTGGGACGTTCTGGGATGCTCTCATATCCAGCACCTCATTGAGCCAGCCACCTCCTTTTATTCTCTATTGCTGGGGTCTGGCTAATGAAATATGGTAGCGAGAGTCTATTCATATCCAGCAGGCCTAATAGGAAAGGAGAACCTCTCTAAGCAGGTTGCTTCAGCGTGGCTGTGCTCTTTTCCTGACATGATTGTGTTGTGTTTGCGTCAAGTCAAAGTAGGTCAGGAATATGCTCCAAATGCTGTGCTGACAAGTTTCAATCCTTGGAATAGTTGAAGCTTTGTGTTCTGGATGTTCTTTTTAGCCTAGCTTAGCGTAAAACATAGGAGATGTAAATGATCACAAGACTGGTTATTGAATATGTATGTAGTTGAAACTGTAAGCACATTTTTCCATTATGAGTATTCAAATTATTGTTATTCTCATGGAGTTTAATCACTGTTAATGAAAATACTTTGATAGTCTGCAGGATGAAAACAAAATGTACCTAGCACTCAGCCTGTTGGGTTTTTATTGTTTAGGTTCACTGAAAAACATAACTACTTGTTCTTTTTGAAATACGATAGGTCAATCTGAGGGTGTTTCTCAATGTCAAGGCGCCTGGCCTTGTGAGGCGATGTATTGCAACGCCAGGCGCCCTTACAAGGACACTGTCCTTTGGTCAAAGAAAATGGTTAAATGGAACAGACTTGCATCGCATGACCGCGGCTTCCATGGCGGTCACATAACGTTGCGTGACACGGGAGATAATGTTATATTTTATATGTATTAGTTTCAATATAAATATATAACGATCCTTTTACTTTTTGAATTTTGTATATATTTGTTAAATTAAAAATACAAGTGAGTTACCTGCTAGCCACCGAAGCTGCAACTAATAAGGAACTAACCAACCATACATAACTACTTTGGATCTAAAAAACATTTTAAATTAGTTGACCTTCTTTTAAGCTTGAAATTTGCCCCCGAAGTAGCTGCCGGTTTCTGATCCGCCATCCTTTTGAAAATACCGCCGTGTATTCTGGGTAATTTTTGACCAAAGCTAGGCTACAAGATGCCTCCCGTGTATCCTTGCTCAGCTAGCTAAACGGCTAACAAACGGAGAACACACGCCTGGTAGAACATGAACATTGGAACACGTCTTGGCGACTCCTGATGACATATCTCCTAGGCAACCAGGGCGGGGCCAAGACATCAAGGCGAGGTTCCTTGGCATTGAGAAACACCCTGAGTTTCACATGCAGGCTAAACATGATAATAGTCTTCTACCCCTATTTCCTGCATTAGCTGCAGATAGAGTAGACAAGGAAACGCTTGGATTAGAAAAAGCTACACATACCTATGTTGCATAAATTAGCAGTTATGGACTAACCCATCTTGGCTCACAACTGCAAACGGGTGTTGTTGCCTTAACATCCAGGAAAGAGCAGAACGCGTCTTGTCTAGTAGAAGCTAACCATTAGCATTAGCAACTCCCCCACATGACAGAACTCCTTCTGAGTTATTTGTGGAGATAACACATAAACGTTGCAAAGCCAGCAGTCAGTGGAAGTCGTGTTTCTGTTAGCCAATTAGAGGTGAGATGCTTGCATATCACCTTACTTCCTGAAACAAAAGCACCAGAGCTTTTTTACCACAGAAAATGTCTCACAAGGCATTCATTCATACTAGAGACCACAGCAAATACATTGAAATAATGAGTGTATGCTCTCTAACAAAATCACTTAGATTTCAAAAACCGTTTCTTTCATGCAAATAGAAATTTTAATTTGGTATTTTTTTCGTAAGAGCCCATAGAAGTTTATGAATGCAGCGTATAATAAAAAGAAACACCTCGATTCACCTGCATATAGTTACCTGATGTCCCCGGGTTATTATGTCCCCAACGGATATTATGGAAGTCCAATTGTATGTATGAAATAATGCTGCACAGCAAATCCCATTGTTAAAAGGGTGTGCGTGTGTTGGTGTTTATGTGTGTGTTTGTGTGTGTGTTTAGTTTACAGTAGAGTGGCTGGTGGTAAGAAGACATAGCTTACTTGAATGTTGATTGAACAGAATGATAAATTATCCAACGCTCACAGAATAAATTTGTCTCTGTCTAATGACCTCATCATATTTCATCAGAGAAAGGCCAGTACAAAGCCTTCCACCAACTGAGTCACAAACACACTCGTGAGAACTCGCACGCATCTTCTTTGCTGTTTTACACTCCCTCCCTGTGTGTGTGTGTGTGTGTTTTCTCAGACCTCCTGGTGGACATGTTGGGAGTGTTGGCCAGCTACAGCATCACAGTCAAGGAGCTGAAGCTGCTCTTCAGTATGCTGAGAGGAGAAAACGGTATCTGGGTAAGTAAATTTGGGCCTAAATTGAACAAAATGAATATTGAATAAACTGTTCCTTCTTTAGCATCTAGCTAGAAATCTAACTTTTTCGTCACACCTCACTGATTTATCCCAAATATGTCCAGACATAATCTAAATGTAAAGGATTTTCAAACCAATTGGAAACTTATGATACTGTTTACCAATACGTTAGAAATGACAAGGTATAAGAAAGTAAATAAGTAAGTACATTTTATTTATAAAGCACTCATCACAGACCGAGAATCACAAAGTGCTTCACATCTTTGTTTTTTTCACACAAAAACAAAACAAGTCATAAAGTCGTCTTACAACGGAAAAAAGTTCTAATCTGAAAAACAAAGTAAAATTTTACAAAACGAAGTGTCCACACTGTCAACACTATGTAATGATGAAGAAGGTCATTCCAAAGTCTGTGTGCAACAGTCTGGCCAATCACCTCACCTTTTGTATCTGGTCTTTGGATCTTCTAGAAGGTTCTGGTTTGTGGATCTGAGGTCTCGAGTTGGAGCATAAGGCTTTAACAGTAACCTGAAAGTTGTAGTCAGGATTCTAAAATAACGGGTAACCAATGCAGAGAGGTTAGAATAGGAGTGATGTGTGCTCCTCTGTTTGCTCCGGTTAAGAGCAAAATACACAAAATTTAATGTCTCACTTACATGTTTTCTAGTCCAAGTGCTCTAAATGAATAGAAGTTTATGCCTAATATTTGCTCTCAGGCACAGATTAAGTGTTATTTCTATATTTCCTAATTAAACAGCTCACATTGTGCTCTTGTACAAGATAATACTGTGTCATGAAGGTTTACTGAAAAAAAGCTTTGCATGCTTAATAATTTAAATGGTTTATATACAGTGTTTCAATCAGCATGTGCTTTACAATAACTAAACATCTGAATATAACATAACATTTGTAATATTTTTATTTTAGTGGTGTTACTTGAAGATATTGAGGAAAGTAAAGGAGGAAAATGCCTGAAACTAGAAACAATGTTGTCTGTTGAAGATGAAATGTGTGTTTGTTGTGGATTTGGACCCAAATATTACTGAAATAAGTCATAAAGAATTTATTCTATTAAAAATATCAAAATAATCCTTCTAGTCAAATCACGACTGTTGGCTCGGACATCATCACAGAATTATTACAAAGGAAATTTCAAATGATTGCATTATTGGAGTCAGTAAAACACTGACATATTTATTTGCCGCTGATCATTTGGCCTTTTATTATCCATAAAACACATTCTAATTGATGCTGTCATCATTTTGTTTTGCAAATTTGTTTTATCCTCAAATTTTACAAACAGATTTACATTTTCTTTATAATGGAAGCCTAATTTATTGGATTGGAAATTAATTATACAGCTTGTTGTGTCATTAGTCTTCATGTCACCTAATTGGATTATTGTGCTAATACATTTGATAACAAAGAGAGTGTGTGTATGTGTGTGTGTACTTCTTTATGAGTGGATGCTGAGATGAGACATCATTTTATAGTTTTTATCCGATATCAAAGTTTGGGCCGATACGATATCCGATATTAATATCGCTGTTATGGCAGATAGGCGATATTTGCAGAAACCGATATATAGCCACACAGACATTTACGCTTTTGAAATTAGCACATTTTGTATAGACAGAAAATCATGCAAGATGAATTTTTGAATGTCTTGCTTTATTTCTATAAAGTGCAGTTTGCATTTAAAATGGCAAGCCAACATAAACACATGTAACCAAAAGTGTTACTTTGTAGCAACAAAAAGCGTGTAAACAAACTGAAATACAACCTTTCACTTGATCAATTTACAAAACTCTTGGGAGAATAATTCACAACAACTGGAACAGATCAACTGATCAAACTTTGCTGTTTTCATGAAAACAAGGCATTTATTCGACTTCAAAACATTTTAAACGAACAACTGCTTCATGCAGACATGTTTATCCTGTTGTTCCTTCTTTACTGAACGCTTGATTGTTATCAGCAGTACATTTTTTCGACACTTTCGATTCCTTTAGCAGATTTCTTCTTAATTTTCGACCGAAAATGCGTGAGTGCATCTCTGTTCACGTTGGTCAGGCAGGGGTTCAAATAGGTAATGCTTGCTTGGAGCTTTACTGCTTGGAACATGGGATCCAGCCAGATGGGCAAATGCCTTCTGACAAAACGATTGGAGGTGGAGGCATTCATTCGTTCGCAGGCTGTTGTGTTGTCTGGTGAAGCTTCCAAATAAACGGAGACGTGTTCCCATACTCCAAAGGTATTTCGCCTATCTCTTCTTTGTCCTGAGACCACGAGCTCGAACCTCTACAGCTCTCCCGTTACATTGGTCAATCAATTTCCCTCTGGGATTAATAAAGTATTTATGAATTGAAATAAAATAGACTCAAATTAGCTGGTACCAATGTAAACGCAGATGTATTACCATTACCCTAACCCTTACCCCTCCTCAGCCTCTGAAGCAGATGCTCAAACGGCAACAAAATGGAAATTGATGTGTAAAAATATACTGGCATCAACTGATACTAGGGCTGCACAATACTAGGCAAACCTGCGGTACGTGATAACAGTGTTTAATATTGTGATGACGATATAACTTGCAATAAATAAATACTTAACCCAAGAACCAAAAAAAAAAAATCAAATACAAAGACATTCAAACATTAAAAATTATATAAAAAAAAGGGAAAAGCAAAAATTGTGATCAAAAGATGTGAGAAAAGGGAAAGAGAAAATGAACAAGTATAGGCAATCAGTGGGTCGTGGGAAAAGCAGAATCGGCAGAAAGAGCAGAATAAAGCTAAGCTTTGATGCTAGCCGTCCTAATTAAGTGATGTCCGCCTCGGGGGCGGGCATCTAACCTATAAGAACCCACGTGATTGGCTAAATGCGCGACAAGCTTTATTTGATTTGTCAAAAATATTATGCTTCCGTTTGACAAAAGGCATCACGTGTAGCAAACATTTGAGCCGACCATTCATTGAGGTTTTTTCTGTTTTTTGCGATATGCGTGTTGCGCGTGCCGATATCGTATTGACGATACATTTGCGATATATTGTGCAGCCTTAGCTGATACCGATATTGATGCCGATATATCGTGCATCCTTGGTTATTATGATTTATTAATACATCACAATCTAATGTTTCTGTTGGAGCTTGATAAAAGCTGATCAGGTGTGATGGTGAAACCCTTGCTGCGTTTCTGTAAACTCACACTCTTTCCACCTGGATTAAACACAGAGTACTTTGACTTGACTAGATAATCTGCTCTTTTGCACCTTTTTAGCTTCACAGTCCCCCAAACAAACCTGCTAATGAAAAAAGTGTTGACTTCTGGCCTTTAAAATGAAAATGCAGACAAATGTCCAAATGAAACGGCTATTTAGCAGTTTCTTACTCTTTGAGCTCTAATAAGTATGCACCTTAATGAGATTATTTCAGGAGCAGCAGAGAGAGAGAGTTGGGGTGTGATTAGTTTGAACTCAGTTTTGCTTCCTGTTGTAATCGCAACCGTTCCCTGCAGCTTAGTGATTAGCTCAGCTTGCAGCCGCTTGGTTTCTCCACCCCAGATTGGATATTTCACAAAAGAACAGAGCAGATTAAGTGTGGTTTTAATGGGGTTAAAGTCTTCAGGAAACTGCTAACGCTGTACTTTTTGTTTCTGTACATTTACAGGTTTCCTGTTAAAAGTAGAATTCAGGAAAGGAGGGGGGCATTTTGCCAAAAATGAAGCTATGTTTTCTCTGACTGGTCAGCACGAGTGGCCTGATAAGGCTCTGCTGATTATTATTATACATCCAGTTGATTAAGAGCACCCAATAACTTTACTCTCTTTAAGGGTAGTGGGCATGCAGAATGTGTGACTACTTTGTTTTCCCTAGCTAATGCCCTTGCCCCTCCTTGTCCATTGACCCTGCTGTCAGGGCTGGTGCGTAACCATCTCTGGTCACTGATCAGCGGTCCATACCTTCAGCCATTTCACAGTCTCCTCTGGTCAATAGCTATTGTCAGCCCCTGCTTCCCTCTTCCCTCCACAGAAACCCTCCCTAGAGACTAATCGATTTACAGGTCGCCACGGTATTGAGGGGTTGTGTTCAGGGGGGAGGGTGGAGGTGATTGAAGACTTATTGATCCAAGGTGGTTGTGGCATAGATGTGATGCCACAACAGGATCCCCCCCCCCACACACACAAACACACACACACACACACTCCACTGTCCTCCTGATAAACTGTATCTCTAACGTGTTTATAACTGTTACGTTCTCCTCTCGTCTTTTAGCCAAGACACGCCATCAAGCTCCTGTCGGTGTTGAACCAGATGCCTCAGAGGCACGGGCCCGACACTTTCTTCAACTTTCCAGGGCGCAGTGCAGCGGTGAGACTCGAAGCAGCATGTTTACCTTCATCCACAACGACTTTGAGCTGCATTTATTTATTAGCATCAAAGTTTTCTAAAAGGACATTTTGCCACGAGGCAAGGCAACCTGGTTCACGTGTACATATCCCTGTGTTGGGATCACCTATTAAGATCCAGTTCACTGCTCCTAGAGTCCAACTCGTTTGATATGGAATTTTGTTTTACCTTTGTCAAACAGTGAAAGAAGAGTGTCGATACTTTATCGTTCAGTTTGAAAAGAACGAATGATGCAAAAGAGCATCAATACATGGCAGTTTCTGTTGACATGGAGACGGGAACTGCAGTACCTTTCCTAAACTTTAGGAGTCACTGCTGAGAAAATAATGCAGCTGCTGGAGCAGCAGAAGAAAAGTATATGGGTGGTACCCTCTCTTTGTGCAGAAGACCAAAGCATTATCGTCGCTACTTTTGGTTATCACCCCCCCAACCTTAGTCACCAAACTTTTCCTTTTTGTGTAGTTGTTGAATTGAAGAGCTGATTACCATCCTGATGTGATTGCTTCACCAGGCTATAGCGTTGCCACCGATTGCTAAATGGCCATACCAGAACGGATTCACCATTAACACCTGGTTCAGACAAGATCCACTCAACAACATCAACGTGGACAAAGACAAACCCTATCTCTACTGGTGAGTACATCCCCTCAACTGGTGAAATAATAACGTACCAATTAGAGCTGGGCGATATGGCCTAAAATAAATATTACGATATATTGAGCATTTCGCTTCGATAACGATAAATGGATGATAACTACAGGTATGCGCAGAAACAAAAGTTGTCCACTAGATGGGGCTGTCGCATGTATTATTTTGAGTCACATTTTTACGTGACTTTAGGTGGCACCGCTTCTTAAAGGGACAGAACGTTGTCAACCTACACACATCTTTTCATTTTCTTATTATCAAATTTATTGACTTGGGAAAAATTATCTCGATAAAACTCAGAAATTTCAATAATGATACAATTGAAATTTATTGACCAGCCCTAGTACCAATGCTGGTTTTTGTTGATCTTGTATTTTTACCAAATGGCAAAGCATCAAGGTGTTTTTTTTTCAAGCGTCGTCTTTTAATGTCAAAAAAAGGGATGGAGAACATCAGTGGTAAGTTTTTTTTTTTTGTTTCCTGCCTTTTGGAAACAATAATTTCATGTTATTCTCAAAATTGTCTGTGGTCTTTATTGATCTTCTTTCCCCAAAACTAATTTTCACCACCCAACCTCCATTTCCGCAGATTTTCCTCTTAACGTTTGAGTGATACGACTGAAGGACACCAAACTAGATAAACTCCTTATTGAATTAAAAAACCAAACTGTAAATGTCAAGAGCCGGTTTGAGTGCACGGTTGGGCGAGCGCCTCCTCTCGCTGTGCAGCTCTGGCCTCGCCGTTAGTGTTGTAAGTGCGTGCCGTTAGCTGGTGTGAAGCTTCATTAGCTTTGACCTTCTGTTTAATAGAACTCTGTCACCGGGCTCCTTCCATCCACCACTTCTACCTGCAATGCTAACTAGCAGCATCCGTCCTTCCCCCTCTCCCACCTCATGGAGTCAAAGGTTCATCACAAAACAGAAAGAATCAAGGAGCTGTTCTCCTGAAGGAAGGATAACACACAGACACATTCGCTTCCAGATGCCATCGCAGAGATGAGCTCTAATCATGTAAAGTGTTAGGATGTAATCCTGTTTCCTTAGTAACCGTTTGTCAGGTTGTCATGGTAAGTACGGTGCAAGAGACAGAGGACATCCTCCTCTCTCTTCTGGCCCAGGTCTTATCATCCTCCCCCAGATGCAGCTGCTACTCAAGCAGCATGTTTGACAGTGGCCTCTGCAGCTGCATGGCGGCCATGATAATGCTCTTTAACGCCCTGCTAATGTAAAACCAGGGATTCACTTGAGAGGGATTTATATCTGCTCTCTGGCTTTGCCGCGCATGTGATCCTTCTGGGCCTATTTCAGGAGTGAAATGTGTCTTAGCTGTGAAACTGTGTTTTACGTGGATGTCACAGAATGGGAAGGGGAAGAATATGTGGGGGAAATGGAAGGAAGGGGATTAGCGATGTTCTTCGAAAAGCTGTTATCTGGGAACCTTGTTGCTGATGTTAAGAAAGTACATTACATCCTGCTTTCTGTCACAGGGAAAAAAAAACAGCTAATAAGAGGCAACCTGCTTGTGTATTAGATGGCTTGATGTGTTTTATCCAGTTTATTTTCTTTGGCCTGAGTCTCGCAGGAATTTTACGTTTTCTGAACATTTATTGGAGAGTAACAAAATTTCATTTTTCCGAACCGTTCACAGTTTTCGCACGAGTAAAGGAATCGGCTACTCGGCTCACTTTGTGGGAAACTGTCTCATTGTGACGTCGCTGAAGTCCAAAGGAAAAGGCTTCCAACACTGTGTGAAGTACGATTTTCAACCCCGCAAGGTAAGGACACACACAGTTTGGAAACGACGTGCCAACAGTTAGAGGAGACGGCACCAGGCGCGTGCTGCTGCTCTCCTCTTTTATCTCTCTCTGCACTCGCTGGGAATGTTGATGAGTCTGGATAAGGTCTGTCAATTAAGGCCGGTGCACTGGCCCTCGATCGCACCGTCAGCACTTTGCTGCTGTCCTGCACGCTAACACAAACACCCACACATCCTCGGATGAGCCCGTAAACAAACACACATTGGGTTGATGAGATGGCCTTCTGCGGTATTTGCTGACCCAGTAGAATCCCTGAGCCACCCAAGTTCCCACTGGCTCGGTTTGATCAATTTAGAAGCCACTGTGTCTCACAGGCTTTTGTCTGTGGGGATCAAGGGTTAATGCGTGTGTTCCTGTGTGTGTTGAAGTGAATGCTTATATGCACTTTTACTTCATGGTAGTGCATGAACCGGGAGAAATATTAGCCATTTTTTTACTTCTGTAGACATTATCTGTCCTCCAGGGACTGAAGGAACCGAACACACCGTAATGAACAGTATCAGGTTACACTCTTGCCTCCGTTGTACACGGCTGAGAGAGCGACGTGTAACGACAGCAACGCGGTTTCATCACGACATCTGTCAGAGGGGCCTTGCTGGACTGGCGAGATCCCAACATCCCAGGAGAATGAATGTTGTATTTCCAGTCCATGCCTTCTCCTTTTTGATGAAATGTTTATAAAAACAACACCTGTTGTCATATACAGTGGGTACAGAAAGTATTCAGACCCCTGTCAACTTTTTACTCTGTTATGTTGCATCCATTAGTTAAAATCAGTTAAATTCATTTTTTTACTCATTAATGAACACACAGATCCCCAAATTGACAGAAAACACAGAACTTAAAAAAAAATGTATTAACGTTATTAAAGAAGACAAACTGAAATCACATGGTCCTAAGTATTCAGACGCTTTGCTGTGACACTCATGTACTTAACTCAGGTGGTTTCCATTTCTCCTGATCATCCTTGAGATGGTCCTACACCTTCGTTAAAGTCCAGCTGCGATAGATTCTACTGATTGGACTTGATTAGGAAAGCCACACACCTGTCTATAAAGGACCTTACAGCTCACCATGAGGTCAAAGGAACTGCCTGAAGAGCTCAGAGGCAGAACTGTGGCAAGGCACAGATCTGGCCAAGGTTGCAAATGCATCTCTGCTGCGTTTAAGGTTCCTCAGAGCCCAGTGACCTCCATAGTCCTTAAATGGAAGACATTTGGGAAGACCTGAACCTTTCCTAGAGCAGGCTGTCCAACCAAACTGAGCTACAGTGGGAGAAGAGCCTTGGTGAGAGAGGTAAAGATGAACTCAAAGATAACTGTGGCTGAGCTCCAGAGTTGCAGTCAGGAGATGGGAGAAAGTTGTAGAAAGTCAACCATGTCAACCATCGCTGCAGCACTCCACCAGTCAGGGCTTTATGGCAGTGTGGCTGGTGCCTATCTCCAGCAGTCAACGGGCAATCAGGCGGGGTACACCCTGAACAGAGAGCCAGTCCATCGCAGGGCAACACAGAGACACACAGGACAAACAATTATGCACACACACACACCTAAGGACAATTTAGACAGACCAATCAACCTAACAGTCATGTTTTTGGACCGTGGGAGGAAGCCGGAGCACCCGGAGAGAACCCATGCATGCACAGGGAGAACATGCAAACTCCATGCAGAAAGACCCCAGGCCGGGGAGCAAACCCAGGACCTTCTTGCTGCAAGGCAACAGCTCTAACCACTGCGCCACTGCGCAGCCGCGCAGCACGATGTGTTCTAAAAGTGTAGTACATCAAAAATAGAGTCCATGGTTTTGGGATGCCACACATCAACTGGGGTAAGCCAAACCATAGACGAACGAGGATTAAGGCCACTGAAAAAAAAAATCTCCAACTTTAATTTTGAGAAAAAAAAGATGAATATAAATGATGAGAATAAAATCAGAATAATTTTTTTCTTAACTTTTTTTCTTTCCAGTAGCCTTAATCCTTTTCTGTATAATTATTCTATCAGCTGCGGAGACCGCACCTATGCCGTGGTGTGCCGTAATGGTTCCATAACACACCGCTCACACACCTGTTGTACATTGGGTGTTAGAGCTGTTGGCAGCATAAGTGCAAACATTCTCACAATCAGGACAAAAAGTTTCTTTCAATCATGACTAAAGTGACAGGATGTCCTGTAGCGCAGATGTTGGTGCCAAAATTCTGTCATTCAAAAGCTGCACATTCTTCACCATTTTGTGCTTGTGCAAGCGAACGCGCACCATCACTTTGGTTGTATTATCTTGTTTCTGAACCTTTTCCAAACTTGTGTTTTTCAGTGGTACATGATCAGCATCGTCCACATCTACAATCGCTGGAGGAACTCGGAGATCCGTTGCTATGTCAACGGCCAGCTGGTTTCCTACGGTGACATGGCCTGGCATGTCAACACCAACGATGTACGTTGACACACAGTTTGTTCTTCAGCTTAGAAGGAAAACGTGCTCCTCTTCGTCCGGTTTGTTTTCATGGTTGATGAAGAAACATGTTTTTCCTAAATCAGTGTGAGCTTGTGAAGAAGAATTCTTAGAAATCCGGTTCTGGTTTGGCTCTACATCACACTTCCCTCCTGTTGTGATCTTGGCAAACATTAGAGGTTTGCTTCCTGCGTTTGCCAGCTGCGACAGAGTTGCCCTTGGTCTGTCTCTTTTCCAGCTCAACTCATCCAAACTCCAACTTCCAACTTTCCCATTTAGCAAAATGGACAGGTAGTCTGAACTAGCACTGGCCCTCTGTCATGCTTCCTCTGGATTTTTTCCCGACTTTGCTGCAGTTACTGTTGTCTGTAAGGAATCCTCCTGCCTTGAGGTTAAGTGTTTTAGTTTGTTCTTGTAGTTTCTGCACCTCAGCTAAAGACCGGTACGAGGTGAAGGAACGGGTCTCAAAAAGCATCAACGCTATCACCGGTGGTTTTCTTCTGAAGGCTGAAGATGAAACACGCCATCATTCTGAGAGTAGAGGAGGACGATCTCATTGTGATAAAGGTTATTAAAGGGATGTAGTTGCAGAAAGGCGAGTCAACAGAAAAAATATTAAAGCTGGAGGTGATGGCAAAGATCGATTCAAAAGCAGCTGCTATCTAAAGTTTGAGTTGTATTCTTCAATGCAGGATGCTGTGTTTGTAACATAAACATCATAAATACACAGTTTTATATATTTTTTTGTCTAACATGTAAACCTTTATGTTTCCTTTTCCCAGAGCTATGATAAGTGTTTCCTGGGTTCTTCGGAGACAGCGGATGCCAACAGAGTGTTCTGCGGTCAGCTGGGTGCTATTTATGTTTTCAGCGAAGCTCTCAACCCGGCTCAGATCTTTGCCATCCATCAGCTCGGCCCGGGATACAAGGTACAAGGATACAAGAAATTACACTCCTCATTCTCTGTTAGTTTTACAGTCTGACAGGGTGACGCACTTTGCTGCCAAGTGTTTTTCTAACTGAAGGCTTTTTTTCTTGCTCACGTTGTCAGCTGTTGCTGCTGAGGAGGGTTAACTGTCGGTAAAAGGCCAAAATGATCTATACAGTAATAATTTATTAGATTTATATGAACTAGGGATGTCCCAGTCCGATCACACGATCGGAAAACGTCTCCGATCACGTGGTTTCACACTGATCGGGACTCGGGCTTTACTTCCCGATCCAAGCCCCAATCCGGACTCGGATACTGGGTTCAAATTACAGGAGTGCAACTTGGTTCTCCTTTAAGGTTGTCAGGCTCCCCTGATAGCCTTAACTTACACACCCTGAAGGAGCACAAAAAAGATCCAGTTTCTACCTAAATTATATTATTTACATGGACTCAGAGTAGCGGGGATTCTGTTGGGCAGAGATGCAGAGCGGCAGGCAGGCCACTGATTATTCATGAACTCCAGCTGCGTTCTGCACACGGCCACAGTAACAGTTTCTAAGTTTCTAAGTGGCGTCACCAAAAAATATATAATTAACACAGTCGTTCGTGTCCGTTCATTTTCTCTCTGATAAGTTCCGTCTGTGTTTGAGCATGAAGTGTGGACACGCTCGCGCTGCCCCCGGCTGCAGCGCTCGTCACTGGCGCGGCCGGGCAGCGCAGCGCACACTCCGCTTTTTTTGCGGTCAATAGATCAATTTGATCTGCAGGTTAAAACGTTACTTGTGAGGTGAAAAAGAAGGAAGCAGGCAGGAGTTTTTCTGGAGGACTGGGAGATGCAGGAAGATCAGAGACAGATGGGACAGGAAGATAGGAAACTAAAAACCATGAAAACAAAACTAAGTTCTTAAAAAAATAAATTGTAGGTAGATTCATCCCACAACACGTTTGTACCTGTGTAAAGCAATAATTTATCAGCATGTAGTATTTATATAGTTGATACAATTCAGATCATCTTCAAAACTCAGACCCATGCCCAGGGACGTATCTAAGCATTTTGGGGGCCGAGGCAAAATAGACCCCTGTCAGGTATTTTAAGTTGAAGTGCTATCTGTTTTTATATTAGACTTTTTATATTTGCAATAAAGTCCAAAAGTGAAGAATTTGTTATTTATTACTTGGTTGTTCAAGCTATCTCACAGAAGTGATCTGTTGTTAAAAATTTAAATAAAAAGCTAATTAAATAGAAAATAAGGAACTGTTTCTTCTTTTCTTTCTTTTTTTAATGTATCGAAGGTATTGGATCGGTACTCGGTATCGGCAGATTCTCAAAATCAAATGACTCGAGGGCAACAAAACCTGATCGGGACATCCCTAATATGAACTATCTGGGTTTAGTTAGTATAGCTGTTCAGATGTTTAAATGTCCAAAACTTTTATCACCTAAAGGAGCAAAATGTACGAATTCCAGTGAAATATTCACAAAACAATCTAATGTGCCAATCATGTTTCTTCTGAGTCGGCTGTCAGTTTTTCTCCTTTTAAAAAAGCAGAAGAAGTGATGTTAACGCGAGGTTAAGGTTAACATCTGTGCTGAGCTAACGCCGCGCCGCTAGGATCGGGTTCTATTTTTGCCGCTAGTCGCTTCTGGGACACGTCAGTTTCCGCAGTTAACAGAGGGCCACAAATTCACACATGGTTTCAGTGTAAAATCCCCAGTAATTTTCAAAGTCAAGTACTGCAGCGATGCAGTTTCATATATATGTAGCTTTTGCGTGACCCCACGGCTTATTTACTCCCAGTATCAATCCAGAAGTGCAGCAGCGTTTTTCATGGCTTTAATTCTGGCAGTGGAGAGGAACAACATAACTGGTCTTCCAGCCTGTACTGTGAGACCTTTTCAAATGGTCCAGAATGCAGCGCACGTCTGGTCTTCAATCAGCCAAGAGAGCACACGTCACCCCGCAATTCACTGAGCTCTATTGGCAACCGTTAGCTGCACGCATCAAATCGCTAACAATAGCATACAAAGTCCTGGATGGTACGGCTCCCATCTACCTGAATCCTCTTGCAAAGGCTTACGTCTCGGCCCGGCTGCACCGGTCATCGAAGGATCGTCGGCTAGCAGTGCCTACACCCCGCTCAGGACAATCCAGACTCTTTTCATGCGCCGTTCCACAGATGTGGAATCATCTACCAAGCACTACAAGAACAGGGGCATCCTTGTCAATTTTCAAGAAACTCCTTAAGACCCTGCTCTTCAGAGAGCATCTTCTTAACTAGCACCCTCCCTGCACCCGTCCCCCCACTCTACTGTCCACAGCTTGTTCACTTCCCTTTATGATTCATTAAGCTGCCTCACTGCCACCTTGGATTGACTGATTAGTGTTTGGTGTTAGCTTCAACGGTATCTCCTGGCTTCCTTATATCTTGTAAGTCGCTTTGAACAAAATCATTTGCGTACTATACATGATTTCCTTTTTTTCGGCGGATTTTTTAAATTGTGAGGTATCCGTGATCTTGCAAGTTCTGTTCTATGTCCCAGACTCTCACGGTATGTAATGAACCGCATTGAAGCTCATGAACAAAATGTTCCGCTGCCGTTCCACGCTGCTTGATTCTTCCAGGGTGGAAACTGGGGTTAGACTCTGCATGTTATAGTTCTAACCACTGTCACACCTTTAAGTTCAAAATGTATATTTGTAGAAATCATTTTTGGTAACAATGTCCTTTCATTTTTTAGCTACCGTAATTTCCGGACTATAGAGCGCACCTCAATATAAGCCGCACCAACAAAAAAGGTTTTCTACACACACGCCGCACTCAAATACAAGCCGCGGCGCAGCAGCCACATGCAGGTCTCCGGCGCACAGCGCATGTATGGCCATAACATAAGATAATTAGACAGAAAGACGCTGCACGGAGGTTTTTCGTTGGTGTTTTAATTCAACAAAACAAATTTTAAACACGGGTGAACGTGCCTGCAAGTTTAGAAAAGAAAACAGCACTGATGGCATTCATATTTCTGGATGGTTATAAAATAAAAACAGAACTGACATGTTATTACTGGTAATTTGCATGTTTAGAAGAAAAGAACAGCGCTAACACAGCATTAATAAGCCCTGGATGATTAGAAAATTAAAACTGCACACAAAACATGCCTGGTTAGTAAATAAAACACACTTGCCTACCAGAAAAAAGTCATTCGCTCTCATCTTCCTCTTGCGCACTAAAGCCATTAAAGTCCTCTTCTTCAGCCTCAGAAGAGCTTCGTCACATACCTTTTCTGTGGCGATGTCAGTGTCGCTGTCCGTGTTGCTGTCATCATCCCCGGGTGAAGCTGGCTTGAATGAGTTCTTCCCGCTGCCGTCTCCAGCGCCGAACCATGGATTCATTCATGCCAAGCTTACGTGCGGCAGCACTGTTTCCCTCCTTTACTGCCAGATCGATGGCCTTCAACTTAAATGCGGCAACATATGAACTCATACGTGTAGTTACCATGATGAGGGGGTATGGATTTGAAAAAGGTTCTTCGTCATGCCGGCTGCTTGCATGTGCTACATTAAAATGAGCACTTTCTTCGATTTCCACTTTTGGCTTCCACCTGTTTCACTTTCTGCTAAAGCGCCCCCTGGCAGGTGAAGGAAAACCTTCAGTAAAGCCGCACCTCATTATAAGCGTGGGAAAAATGTAGCGACTTACAGTCCGAAAAATACGGTACTTCACAATTCACTTTTAATAACTTTTTTGCTATTGATGATTTGTTAGCTTTGTTTGTATTTGTTCACCTCTTTTGAAATTTATTTTTATAGATGTGGGATTTAAAAAAGGTCTCATACTCGTGGGGACCGGGCTTTCTCAGTCCTAGCACCGTCACTCTGGAACCAGTTGCCACCCTCAGTTAGGCTGTCCCCATCTCTGTCTGTCTTTAAGAGTCGCCTAAAAACACACCTCCTCCGCTTGGCGTTTCCAGAACATGTTTGATTTTGGCCCTCTATTATGTTGAATTTATTTCACAGTTTTCATTGGTTCACTAAATCCATTGTTTTACACATTTGTCCAGTACTAGAATGTTTCACCTATTTTGTAATTTTAATTGCTTTTATTTTTTATTTATTCAATATATTTACCTTCAACTGAACCATGTTCAGCGCTTTGGGCTTCCTGACAGGGTTGCGGAAGGCGCTTTATAAATAAAGCTTTGATTGATTGATTGATTGATTAATGTGTTTCCCCTTAAAACATAAAACTGACCTGGATTTGATGGCCATTATCAAATTGGGGATGAAAGCCACAGAAAATCTCTGAGGGTCACAAATTACCCTTGAGCCACATTTTGGGCACTCCTGCGTTGTGGAATGGAAACAACAAACAAATGCCTCTGTTGTTAAAATGAATTACCTGCTCTCAATTAGAATTTGTCATTTGCTTTTTTTTTGACACAAATGTAACTCCATACAACAGAATGCAAAAGCATCCCACCTTCTGCACAGATCTTTGCTTGGCCTTTTTATAAAAAGCTTTTTCAGATGAGGGTTGTCTTTCGAGTGCAGGATGTTTAGCACCCTAAACCCCAGAATCCACCTCTGCCTTTTGGCCTGGCTAACAGTGAAAAATGAGATTCTGGACTACCTTGGCAGCTGTCGACTTTCTTGTTTTGGCAGACTCGCCTCAAGCTTCTTACAGCTTGTTTATAGAGCTGTCAAGATTTCAGTGCCACGAGGCTGCATGAGCCTGAAGCTGATGCGGCTGCACCTCCTGGGAAAGAGAGCACCTTGAATTGGAAATGCCCGTTTGTTAGCAAGGGATCACAGGTGGACAAAGATATAAATGTTGCTTGGTATGCAGACCTTACGGATTAGACTTCCTGCCTGTTTTTTATTCTCATGCTGCTGTGAATTCTGATTCCTGACTGTCGCAGCCCTCGGCTTCCTGAGGCTGATGAGTGAGATGATTGCATCTCTGCATGGAGCAGAACGGCCTTCTCTGATGCCCAGAAGA